TCCGTGTTAAATATATATTTAAAAAGATTTACCAAATTAAATATCCTACAGTATTTTTACAGTCTTTATTTTACAGTTAAAATAAATGTTTATCAAATAAAGTCTAATGTTACAACTAATCAGGGATTCCTTTTAAGATAACACTGCCTATACCATGATGTTTTAATGACCTATTTAATATGTTCTGTTTGTTTCAAACACAAGTTACAGGCTTCTTCCTAACAAAATCTGCTTAAAATGCACTTTTAAAATTAGCTGAAAATTGCAACTTTTATTCAGAGGTTTGACCTACCTGTCTTCCATGTTAGAGTCTTTGGTCTTGCTGTCATGATGACCATCATTTCCTGGCACCATGGTGTTGCTGCTGGATGTTGTTCCTGATGGAGGACACACGAACCATCACGTCTGGTTGCTGAGCAGTCATTTAGTAGTAAAAGCACGTCTGGGCAGTCAGTTCCTACCTGAGGTAACTGAGGGGATCTTGTAACTGGAGGTGATGCGGTAATAAGGGGGATTGTCCATGTGAGTGACAGCTGAGCTGACGGGCTCAGTCAGCTGAAGCTCCCACATCAATTCCTCCAGCAGCTGCATAGTTTTATCTCTGCCCAGYTAAACCACCACTCGTTTCACCTGAGGACACACACGTATCATGAGCACAAGGCACACACTGGAACATGGGGTAGTCGGTGGGAGATGTGCTGTAGCTTACATAGGGCAGGAGGCTAGGGTCACTGTTGACCCCTGACATACTGATGAGGAAGTGCAGAATGATTCTGAGGTTCTTTGGCCAACTGTCTGCCAACGTTATCCACACATTCTCAATTTCTGACCAAGCAAACTCATCTCCATACTGAAAAATGATTTAACGACAGATTCATTAATCTGATCGGCGTTTCAATCCATGACTGTGGTTGTTAATGTGGCAGGTCACCTTGGCTGTCATAAACATGAGGTTGTTTAGCACCATGGTTGTTGCACGAGGGGACCCCCAGCCCTCTCCACGGAGCCAGCGGCGACTGTTGACCATCATCATCTCCTGGTCGTGGACGTCTTCCACTTCCTCCCCGCTGCCACCATCCTCTGGTCGCCGTGTGGTCGATTTGAACTCGACCAGCTCCACGTTGTTCATCCAAGGTAGAAGGTAGTGCAGCATGACCTGACGGCCACTAGGGTGCGCTGTCTGGATACGCTGGCTCACCTCTACAGCACAGACAGATGCAGGTAGGTGTGTTTACCATACATACAACGGGTAAAATAAGTATTGAACATGTCAACATTTTTCACAGTAAATATATTACTAGAGGTGCTAATGACATGAAATTTTCACCAGATGTTGGTAACAACCCAAGTGATCCATACATACAAAGAAATCAAACCATAAA